ATATGTTCTGGTTCCGCTTTGGGGTCCTCCCTCGGGAACACGTGCGTTGATTTCCGCTTGGGGTCCTCCCTTGGGAATGACTGCGTACGCCTCTGATATGTTCTGGTTCCGCTTGGGGTCCTCCCTTGGGAACACGTGCGTTGAGGTCCTTCCTTGGGAATATCCGCGTACGTTTCTGATAAGATATGTGTATATGTTTTGTTTAGTTATGATATTTGATTTTATGACATGTTTTATGGGATATGTATGATGATTTTGTAAATGATATTTGTTACGTACGTTGATTTCCGCTTGGGGTCATCCCTTGGGAACGATTGCGTACATCTTTGATATAACACGTTTTGTTCTGATGTGAGTATTGTGATGATTTTTGTAAAAGATATTTGTTACGTGTGTTGATTTTCGCTTGGGGTCATCCCTTGGGAATGACTGCGTTTGTCTTTGATAAGATATGTATATATGCTTTGTTCAGTTATGATAATTGCTTATATGATGTTTTGTATATTATGTATCTGACTGTCATGCAGGAAGTGAGCCCAGGGTATGGAGGGTTTTCCATAAACCTGGAGTTTACTAGAGATTCGTCTCTAACCCCGTTTGGGGATATGATTTCAGGAACACAGTTAATTGAAGAGCCTCATGGGACAAGGACACTAACCGTGGCTAGAGGTACTAGTATGAGGATGTGGAGTTCTGGGTGGTCGGATGCTACTATTTGTTTTAGACGTATTTTTGGAAAAGATGTATTGTTGCATAGTGTTCATATTCGATACATGTACATTTATGTATTCAGGCATGATGATATGACTATGTAGTATTCAGTTATGTTATGTATTGGATTGCATGCTATTAGATTTGTGGCACAGAGCCAAGTTCAGCATGCGCCCATAGATGGGTATCTGAGTATGTTTGCATGACTGGTACTTCTGGAAATATATATTGTTTAAACTGTCTATCAGGAACTCTTGAGTGTGGGATTGGAAAATCCCCAGTTGTCCGATTTACAGAGGTTACTCTGTCCGATTTTCGTCTCCGTAAAATAAGAATTAAATTAGAAGAAGTATGCAATGTGATATGTCATGTGAAAAAGGATTAAAGAAAAAGAAAAAGTTAGTTCGTATTTTCGTAAGTTAAGTCTTCCGCTGTTTCTGTTTGTATCATATGTATGTTAATTGAACCGGCTCGAGACGGGGATGTTACATTTATGGTATCAGAGCAGTTGCTCTAGGGAGTTACATGATATATAGCATAATATATTTGAAGTTGGAAGTTCTTGAGTGTTTTCTTGCAGTGCTGTATAATGCATGTGTGATCACTGAGTGTGAGCGTAGCTAACTCATTCCTTAGTGTAATATATGCAGAGATATGGTTCCTCCAAGGAGAACTCGTAGAACTTTTAATAATCATGATCCACCACCGGATCATGTTGTAGCGATTTTGGCTGCACTACAGCAGACTTGGACTGCAACTAGGCAGAAAGAGCTTGAATTAATAATGAAGCATTCGATTTGACTGTGATAAGGATGAAATTTCGAATTTTCGTCAGAGAAGGAAATTGAATTTACAATCGACTTGTTACCTGGCGTGGGGCCTATCTCTCTTGCCCCATACCGGATGTCACCTCTGGAATTATCTGAATTGAAGAAGCAGATCGAAGACTTGTCTAGTAAGAATTTTATCAGACAGAGTGTATCTCCGTGGAGAGTCCCGGTGATCTTTGTTAAGAAGAAGGACGAGTCTATAAGATTGTGTACAGATTACCGGCAGTGGAACAAGGTTACTGTCAAGAATAAGTATCCTTTGCCGCGTATAGACGATTTGTTGGATCAGTTGCGTGGTGCGACTATATTTTCTAAGATTGATCTTCGGTCCGGGTATCATCAAATCCGGATAAAGTCAGATGATGTTCCGAAGACAGCTTTCAGGTCCTGATATGGGCACTACGAGTACCTGGTTATTCCTTTTGGGCTTACGAATGCACCAGCCGTTTTTATGAGTTATATGAATCGGATCTTTAAAGCCTATCTGGATCAATTTGTGGTTGTCTTTATTGATGACATACTGATATATTCAAGGTGCAAAGAAGAGCATTCTGAGCATTTAAAGATTGTTTTGCAGATTCTGAAAGAGCATCAGTTGTATGCTAAACCGTTAAAGTGTGATTTCTGGCTTTCTGAGATACAATTTCTGGGCCATGTCATTTCATCTGAAGGAGTGGCAATGGACCCGAGTAAGATTGAAGCAGTGTTAGATTGGGAGCGTCCTAAAAATATTACAGAAATCAGGAGTTTTCTTGGTTTGACTGGGTATTACAGGTGTTTTATTGAGGGATTCTCACGGATGGTACTACCTTTGACACGGTTAACCCGTAAGGGGAACCCATTTGTGTGGACCCAAGAATGTGAAGTGAGTTTTCAGGAGTTAAAAAGGAAGTTGACTACAGCTCCGGTATTGATATTGCCGGATCCTACCAGTAAATTTGTGGTGTATTGTGATGCTTCTAAGTTTGGGTTAGGCTGTGTTTTAATGCAGTTTCGTCAGGTGGTTGCTTATGCTTCTCGGCAGTTAAAGCCGCATGAGAAGAACTATCCGACACACGATCTTAAGTTGGCAGCCGTAGTGTTCGCATTGAGAATCTGGCGACACTTTCTATACGGGGGCCGATTTCATTGTCTACAATGACCACAAAAGCTTGAAGTATCTGTTTGATCAGAAAGAGCTGAATATGAGGCAACGCCGATGGGTGGAATTCCTGAAGGATTATGATTTTGAATTGCAATATCACCCCGGTAAGGCTAATGTAGTAGCAGATGCTTTAAGCAGAAAGACGCTTGGTATGGCCAATTTGATGATTTCTGAGTATAATTTGATTGAGAAATTCAGGGATCTCTGCATTCCTGTGAATACCGAGGATAGTCTGCATTTATTGACTACTACGGTAGTCCAGAACTCATTAGTTGAGCGGATCAAAGAAGCTCAATTGCTTGATGAAGAGATTCAGTCCATGAAAGAACAGGACTTTGTGTCCACTGATAGGTTCGGTCTTAAATTTTACAAAGATCGGATCATTGTTCCGAAGGGTCAAATGGTAGATGAGGTATTGGCTGAGGGCCATATGGGTAAGTACATTATCCATCCTATTGCTACCAAGATGTATCAGGCCATGAAACCAAAATTTCTAGTGGTCTGGTATGAAGAAAGATATTGTTTAGTTTATGAATAAGTGTTTGATATGTTGTATATGTGCATTCATTCACGTTCATATAAATATTATATGATTTTTGATGTAATGATGATATATGTTATGAGAATCCTTGTCAGTGACCTTGGTATGTTGACTGCCTATGGCTTTGACCCTGGGAGTTATTTTCATACTACAGTTTGTGTTGATTGCCTATGGCTTGACCCTGGGAGTCACACTAGACATGTGAGACATGTCAGTTAGCTATTCTTGGGGAGAGCCCTTGAATAGTTAACCAGAGTATTAGTTATGATGTGATGCTTTGCATTTAGCATGTATCAAGGATATTCCTTGTGTAATTCATAGAGTGCAGTTTCCCTGGTCATTAAAATTTGTAAATTGTATTATCAGTGTAAGGACTGGTGTACAATGAAATTGTAAATTGTATTATCAGCAAGGACTGATGTACAATAAATTGTAAATTATATTATCAGTAGAAAGACTGATACATTGATGTTTTAGTGGAATTATATTTTCAGTAAGAAGATGGATGTAATAAGTAAGTCCATTATATGCTAAACAAGTCATGTTTAGACCAAAAATGATAAGTTTAGAAATTTTACGATTTTGCGTGCAAACAGTGCACAATTTGTAATTCACAGGGCACTTCGTTAAAAACAGTGCAGAAACCCAACTGTGAATTGTTATTACTGTTCCTTAGGGAATAAAAGTGAACTTAAATGAGCTCAGAGAAATAAAATGACGAATATAAATTTGAGAATGAGAAGCCCTATGGATTACTGCAGCCCTTGAATATTCTGGAATAGAAGTGGGTTAGTATTTCTATGGATTTTGTAGTAGCATTGCCGAGAACTTAGGCTGGTTTTGATTTTATGTGAGTTATGGTAGGCAGATTGATTAAGTATGCATATTTCATTCCAGTCAAGATGAGTTGCTCTATTGAGCAGTTGGCTCGATTATATGTAAAAGAGATTGAGAAACATAAACCCTTTGAATTTTATGAAGGGAATCATGTGTTTATTAGTTTGTCTTCGACTACAGGTTTAGGCGTGCTCTAGGTGTGAGGAAGTTAAGTCCTAGGTTCATAAGGCCCCACCAGATAATAAAGAGGGTCGGACCTGCGGCGTATCAGCTTGCCTTACCTCCACGTTTGTCTAATTTGCATGATGTTTTTCGCATCAGTCAACTTTGTAGAGATGTATCTGATGTGTCCCACATTGTTCAACACGACGATAATGAGGTAAAGTAAGATTTGAAGTTTGTTGTGGGACCACTGAAAGTTCTGGTTCGCGATGAGAAAGTATTGAGGAACATGGTTATTCTTATGGTTAAGATACAATGGGTTAAGATACAATGGGAAAGTTTGACTTCTGAGGATGCTACTTGAGAGCGAGAGTATGATATTCTCCAGCGTTATCCTGAGTTTGACGTCAGGTATGTGTTATGTTATATCTGTGATTTTGGGGGCAAAATCCTTAAAAGGTGGGGTGAATATAATGACCCTCACATTTATTATGGATTTAATATTGAAGGATAATTACAAAGAAAAAGAAATAAAGTCACTTTTGGTGAAAAATGAGTTAAAATGACAGTTAAGAGGTAAAAAATGCGGATAAATAAAGTTATCTAAAAGTGAAAGTAAAAATAGAAACGTGACTAGAAAAATATTCTAGTCTATTGGTTAAAGTTTGGTAATGAATGGAGGTGTGTAGATAGATGAGCTTATACCCGCTAGTATAATGAATTTATATAAGTGACTCAAGGGAGTCACTGTTCCCTTCTCTTTACGGACGCGAGACAGAGAGAACGAAGGAAAGAAAATGAAAATGGAGATTTTGATTAAAATTCTTCCAAAATTCATAACTTGAGCTAGAGACCTCCAAATCACTCCGTTCCAAAGCCAAACCTGTGAGAAATTTCGAGAGGAATCTATTGGTACCAGTATTTCTGAGTGGGGTTCACTGTAGAGAGAGATCTTCTCCCCCAAAGAATTCGAATTTCATGGAAAATATGGGTTTTGATGGAGCTTGAAGCCATGGGAGCTTGAAGCAAGCTTCTCCCTTCATTCTAGGTAAGTTCATGTTAAGAAATCTTTGTTTTCTTTGAGTTTTGAGAAAGATTGAATATAGGTTTTCATTTTAAAAATTTGGATTGATTGAGCATGTTAGAGCTTAATTCAGGTTTAGCTCATGTTGAGAAAAGTGTTTAGATGAGAATTTTAACGGTGAAAATGTATTTTGGAAAATTAAAAATACCGTATTTTTGAATAGTGTCGTATACGTGAATAGTAACGCATACATGAATAGTATTGTAGAGATGAACAGTGTCGTATATATCAATTAACGAATCTTGGATTAGAGGTGTGTGATAAGCTTGAATTTGATGGAGTAAAGCATTGAAATCATGAAGTTGGCATGATTTCCTTTATGTGCCTCTTAGCCATTTTCAAAGGAAGTATGTGCTATGAGTTACTGTTTTACAAAGCGAGCATACTTTTATGCGTGGAATGATATTCTAAGGTGTATGGACCTTCGCTTTGGTGAAATAAAAAAGAAAATAAGGTAGCTCCTTTGTATGGCCTTAAAATGAGTTTTGGCCATTTTCAAATGAGGTATATGTTCGGAGATATTGTTTCGCAAAGTGAGGATACTTATATGCGTAAAATAATTTATATAGGTGGCTAAGCTTGGGTTTAGGCACTAGACAAAGAGAAATCTTATAGCTCCTTTGTAATGGGCATTCGGCCTTAAATTGGGAAAAATAGGCTTTTAGGTGCTAAGAGGAGTAATGAGTGTTCTAAAGGCCTTTTGGGACTATCCTAAGACTAAGTGAATATATGGAATTTTGTGGGGATTTGTTGAACAAAGAACCACCCACTCATGACTTAATATGATTAAGTAAAAAGAAAATAAACAATAAAGTGTGTGTCTTGTATATTTACATGGCATTATATCATTTTATTGAGTTTTATGTTGAATTCCTTCTCTAGGTGTACCTAGGGACTGTGAACGTTTGGATTCTCGTGGAGTATGATAAGTAGCTTGTTCTTCAAGTAAGCAGATTGTAAAGCTCAAAGAGGTAAGCTCTATGTTTATGGGGTTCGCTCCTACTCTGTGTTCCGCCATAGTGTACGGACTGTGGTCAGGTTGTATGATATGTATGAGATACATGATATAGATGCATTCATATAGAGCTATATGATAATATGATATGTTTTGTTTTGATGTATTTACTTTGATATGTGTTAATATGATATGTTTTGTTATGATATGACTTCTGTAATATGATTTCTGTAACAATATCTGGCCATTGATTGTATAGTACCCGGATGTTCGCTTTGGGGTCCTCCCTCGGGACTGATGGTGTACGCCTCTGATATGTTCTGGTTCCGCTTTGGGGTCCTCCCTCGGGAACACGTGCGTTGATTTCCGCTTGGGGTCCTCCCTTGGGAATGACTGCGTACGCCTCTGATATGTTCTGGTTCCGCTTTGGGGTCCTCCCTCGGGAACACGTGCGTTGATTTCCGCTTGGGGTCCTCCCTTGGGAATGACTGCGTACGCCTCTGATATGTTCTGGTTCCGCTTGGGGTCCTCCCTTGGGAACACGTGCGTTGATTTCCGCTTGGGGTCCTTCCTTGGGAATATCCGCGTACGTTTCTGATAAGATATGTGTATATGTTTTGTTTAGTTATGATATTTGATTTTATGACATGTTTTATGGGATATGTATGATGATTTTGTAAATGATATTTGTTACGTACGTTGATTTCCGCTTGGGGTCATCCCTTGGGAACGATTGCGTACATCTTTGATATAACACGTTTTGTTCTGATGTGAGTATTGTGATGATTTTTGTAAAAGATATTTGTTACGTGTGTTGATTTTCGCTTGGGGTCATCCCTTGGGAATGACCGCGTTTGTCTTTGATAAGATATGTATATATGCTTTGTTCAGTTATGATAATTGCTTATATGATGTTTTGTATATTATGTATCTGACTGTCATGCAGGAAGTGAGCCCAGGGTATGGAGGGTTTTCCATAAACCTGGAGTTTACTAGAGATTCGTCTCTAACCCCGTTTGGGGATATGATTTCAGGAACACAGTTAATTGAAGAGCCTCATGGGACAAGGACACTAACCGTGGCTAGAGGTACTAGTATGAGGATGTGGAGTTCTGGGTGGTCGGATGCTACTATTTGTTTTAGACGTATTTTTGGAAAAGATGTATTGTTGCATAGTGTTCATATTCGATACATGTACATTTATGTATTCAGGCATGATGATATGACTATGTAGTATTCAGTTATGTTATGTATTGGATTGCATGCTATTAGATTTGTGGCACAGAGCCAAGTTCAGCATGCGCCCATAGATGGGTATCTGAGTATGTTTGCATGACTGGTACTTCTAGAAATATATATTGTTTAAATTGTCTATCAGGAACTCTTGAGTGTGGGATTGGAAAATCCCCAGTTGTCCGATTTACAGAGGTTACTCTGTCCGATTTTCGTCTCCGTAAAATAAGAATTAAATTAGAAGAAGTATGCAATGTGATATGTCATGTGAAAAAGGATTAAAGAAAAAGAAAAAGTTAGTTCGTATTTTCGTAAGTAAGTCTTCCGCTGTTTCTGTTTGTATCATATGTATGTTAATTGAACCGGCTCGAGACGGGGATGTTACAGGTAGCAGGGGTCTCCACCTCTCCCATTTGAACAACGCCCACCTCGGCAGCAACTTGATTGGTGACCTCCTTACCTCCCTCAACTTGATAATTCCCGACTTGAGTTACCGAGTCACCAGCAGGGTACTCCAGAGGAGGGGGGGACAATTTGACAATTGCCGATGTAAGCCTTCGGATGCAAGCCGGTAGAATTAAATTCCTAACCGGGATTAAGGACCTTAATTTGGTTCAAGGCAATGTTGAAGGACCCCACAACTAACTTCTCAAGCTCTCCCCGGTAAAACTGGGCATCATGCTCGGCTTCCTTCAGCTTTGCCTCAACACTTTCATGCTAATTTTAAAATCCTTCAACGATTGACAATTGCAAGCATGCAAGTACTGAAGTTTATTGTTATCCCTTTGAAGAATGGTGAAGTCCTCATTTACCTTTGCCAACTCGGCAACAGTTTCATCATGATCATTTTGGAGGATAGTTAAGTCCTCCTTTACCTTCACCAACTCGGCAATGATCTTAGCTCTCTCCTCTCGGGATGCATTTACCTCATTGAGAGTACGAACATAGTTGTTCTTCAAAGAGAGTAAGGGCCTCGCCATCATCGCCATCTTCATATAATTAAGCTCCATATTCTCTAACTCATTTACCTCAGAGGCAGTGAAGGGAGTGGAGTTGAAGAATTGCTCTGGAGGGCAAACAACATCGCGGAGATCACCAGTAATCCCGGATTGCCATAAGGCATGTTTGGCGAGTCCGGCGGTAGAGGAGGGAGCAGGAGTCCTGATCAAAGCTTGAGTAGAGGAAGGGATAATAGGGGTTCTCTTGGCCTTATCGCCAATGGAGATAGGATTGCCTTTATCAACTGGGGTCCCCTTGGCCTTATCAGCAGCAACAACAACAGGCTTCTTGACCTTGGAGTCAGGAGCCTTTCTCTTTTTTGTCGTCAAGTCGACAACGACATCTTTTTTACCTCGGCTAAGAGCAGCCAAAAAGCTGGGCTGTTCGTTTTGCTGACCATCCATGTCGGGAACTGCAAAACAAAAAAACATGAAACTGGGTTATAAAAACACAATATAGTAAATATAGGTGTCGCTGCTCAAACAAAGCCATACTTATTTCAGAATCAAGCTCTTCTTGAGACTTGAAAATAAAAGATGCAACACTGGCATGGCCACATGCTTGGTTATAGTCCCCAATGGCGAATATGGTGTCAACATCAGCAGAGCTCAACTCGATTTCCTTAAAACGATAACTCGAGAAGGCAAAATTATAGTGGTCAGGTGCCCAATACAAAGGAAACCTCCCTTCCACTTCTTCGGAATCAGAAGCATTGAGAAACCAAGCTTCTTTGCCGGGATGTACAGAAACCTAAAAGATTTTCTCTTTGAAGTTCTTAAAGGACTCTGAGTAGACGTGAAACAGCTTCCGGCCAGCAACACCCTGGAGAGTAACCCAACCTTTCCGTTCTGGTGGTTCACGGCCAGTTTGAGCTGTAATAGCTTGAAAAAAGAAGAAGAAAATAGAAACGGAAGGAGGTAAACCTAAATAGGCGCAAAAACGCTCAAAGGCCTTGACAAAACCCCAGCCGTTAGGGTGAAGTTAGGTGGGAGCTATGTGAAGATGATTCAAAATGCAAATCTAGAACTCGGTCAAGGGAAACTAATACCGAGTTGAGTAACCAGATCCCGGTAGAAAAAGAAGAAACAAGGCTCATCTGAATCCCTCCCAGAGCAAACCGGCTCGTCTGCACGTGGGGGAGCTATATCATAGTTTTCTAACTTCCCAATGGGAAGCCCAGACACATCGTCCGCACTCATCTCGAACGTAATGTTTAAGACTTCATAAGTTACCCAAGGAAACTGGGCTACTAAGGAGGCTGGAGGAGACTCAGAGTCAGATTCAGGAGAATGTGACTCCTCTACAATCTCTGGTGGAGATGACGCCATAAATAGCTAAAATAAGAAGAAGAACTTAATCAGAAGGACAGAATAGGCATACCTGAATCAAAAAAAGCTATTAGACGACGAGTCACTAGAGGATGAAGAAGTTGGTTTGTCCGAGATTGTGATCGGATCATCTGCCTCACCAGAAGCAGAGATAGACCCCAGAACATCTCTATGCCGAAAACTAGCCAAAGTAGACTCGGCTAAAGAGTCAAATCCTTTCTCAATGAGTTTAGAACTCAGAAAGGCACAAGAATAGCAAGGATCGGCTTTCTGGTTGTGGGAAGAATGTGGAAGACCCCGATTGATTGACAGAAGTTCAGGATCCAGGGTAGAAGAAACACTGGAAGGATTAGGACCGATTTCGGGAAAATATTGGGAAACACGTCTACTTGCAGAAAGACGACTCCTACCCAATCGGGAAGAACCGAGACCCCAGGTCTCACCTAGAGCTCGACTTGACAAATCGAATCGCTTTCTGGACCCACCACCACGATAACCACGAAGCGTGGCTTCGCGTTCTTCCTCTTCAGTTCTCGGGATCCCCCAGAACCAAAACCAAACCCCATGAGGGACCTTCTTTAGCAAATTGAATTCTTCCTCCTTCTTCCCCTCACGATGCAGAACTAAGGAAGAAGATTTTTCCCCTCTCATTATGGTAAAGATTGAAACAACACCAAATTCAAAATAACAAGGAGGAAAATGACAATGGAGGGTGATGCAGGCTAAAATGCCAAAAATTTAAAGAATATATATCACTCCAGAAGAGAAAAATATTGATGCAGCAAAGAAGAAAAAGCAATCAGCAAAATGATTTACCAGAATGACACATGAACAACAACAAATTCAAAACAGAAACAATGAATATTCAGGAATCAAACACCCAAATACAAACTACCGAAAAAGAGAATGAGAGATGTTCAAAGGTAGGGAAGAATACTTGAATAGAAGAAACGAACTTGCAAAGATGCAAAAATACACTTGCAAATGGCAGCACTCAAGAAACTTGCGCCAAGAAAAGTTTCTGCAGAATAACTAAGGTAAAAATGGAAGAAAGGAAAAGATGCATGCTTATATACCTAGAATGATAACTGCAACGGTTATGGATGGCAAAGGTCAAGGGCATTTAAGTCATTACACCCCAAAAGTAATGATCAGACGCCTAAAACGACATATTTAATAAATGTGCATGAAATGTGAAAATGGCACAAGACGGCTGCAGCACGCTAACAAATGCGACAAGCACCACGTGTCAAACGAAATGATCACCGACAAGAAAGTCGGCATTGAAAAGTAGAAACCCACAACCGGGATCCATGCAATGGACACCCAGGCGAAGTGATGCCAAACTGAGTCTCAGGAATGATGTGCTTGGGGCCAACTCGCCAGTTGGATCCCAACATCTCAAGCTCATTCCTAACTCGGCACAAGGAATGTGAACGGTATCTCACAGGGTTCATGCTTAACCCGCCAAGATAAGGGGCAATGAAGTCCCCGGTTGAAAAAGTCAAAGCCCAGAGCATATGCGTAAAGAGTTCATGAGAACTCGGATGTTTTCAATAGAAACTCGAATCGATGCACAAACGAGTTCACCTCGATAACTCGGACACTCATGTAGCTTGGTTGAGGGGTAACTGTTATGGACCCATATAAGGGGCCCATTGACTGACAGTCCTAGTAAGGGGTGATATAAGATTTAAATCGAGCATAACAATGGGAAGATATCCATCAAGGATGCTAATCCTAATACGACAGCTTGGCAAACGGGCCTGGACCCTCTTCAGAGGCACTAAAGGTCCATAATCTACTACCCACAGGTAAATCCTATAAATAAGATAAAACCTACAGGTACCTTACGCTCTCTCCCTTACTGTTATGTTGTCACTGTGCCCACATACACACCTCCCCTTTGACAAAGCCGTTATCGTATTCTTGTGCACAGTAATCTGCTTGACTCGAGGGTATCTCTTTTATAGATATCCTGGAGAGGGCACTAGATTCAAGATCAACATACTAGTCCATTGGGCTAGACATCTCTGTTTCCAAGACAGAACAACTACAAAATTATCAATGATTAAGATTTGGTTGTAAGATTAAGCGAAAAAATTTATAAATATAATATTCTTTGTTTTAATAAATATTATTAATATTTTAGCATATTCAAACTGAAACATTTGGGAAGGAATGTTAGGAACGAAGAAAGCCACCTGCAATCTAAAACGTTCTAACTAGATCTAAGAATAAAATGCCAAAGACAATAGGCAATGATATCTTACTAACAATTGTCTCTTCCGTCGCAGCAATCGTTTTACATGCAATATTTTAACCAACCAACTTCGTAATTATTGACCTTTCCAAGACTCCATCGTTATTTAAAACCAGAATCCTAATCAGGAATTAAAAACAACATCCCATTACATTTTTACACTAAAGAGGTGATTATTAAAGTAGAGCCTGAATAGTAATTGAAACAAATAGTTTGACCACCCTGTTAGATGGTTTAATTATCATCATTTGGTCATGTGTAACTATGTTCGTACCTAACAAGAAAAAAATAGAGTGAATCTCACTCTATGTGTGAAATTTATTTTTTATATTATTCATTAGTTCATTAATTATTTGCTTAGCTGATTTGAACCGGATAAGATCATATAAGTAACAAAGCTTTTCCTAGTAAATATTAACACAACTGCATTTTCAATGATTCAAACTCAAAATTATTGGTTAAACTAGATCAATTCCTCACTAATTAATTCAGATGATTCGTGGTGTGAAATTTATTATTTGAGACCCATCTTCTTGATAAAATTCTGAATTTTATAATGTTAAAAAATGTGTGTTACTTCAGGGCCACAATATCACTAGCCTAAACTTTCCCGTATTTAATTCCTCCTATGTTGAAACATAAGCCATGGTTTCTTCTTTTCTCAATTTTAACACAAGACTTTGGGATTGTTAGCAAGAAAGGAACAAAAAAAGCTAAGTGTGAAATAAACACAATCATGAACCACTTTTCCAACCAAAACCTAATCCATGAATGAAAATAAACACACGAATGTGAAGAAGAGATTGTCGGCGGTGCATGTTCTAGCAACGTCACATGCCCACTTCATCCACCGTCCACGTGGCATACCCTGCACCGCTCAAACCAGCCCAGTCTAAAAACGCCACCACCTCTCTCACCTTCACTAGTACTTCCAGACTTCAAAAATTGCCCCCCATTTTCACTTTATTTACAATCATTGCCATTGCCATCATTAACGGCTGAAATTCAGCATTACATGACTCAATTTAACAATGTCATCGATCCAGGAGCCATGTCTTTGACGGTCATGGTTTCACCTTTAACTATAACTGCCCGTACCTAATCATTTTCCCTTTACGAAAAGCACACAAGAAATACAAACTTTCCACTTTACAGCGCGGGTCATTATGCGATTCGGTGCTTGAGAATTGAGATATGGTTTATGTTGTACCTTAAAAATGCCTCATTTTCATCAAATTTACATTTATTTGAGATTATAGAGTTAAGTACCTTTTTAGTCGAAGAAAGTATCTTTGATGCAGTTCAAATATTATTTATTATAAAATAAATAATTAATGAATTTTAAATAATTCATCACTGATATAGAAACAAAAAAATAATGATGACAGTAGACTCAATAAGATTTATTAAAATTATCTATAATATGAATTAAGAAAAAAGTATGTATCATTTTAAATGAAAGAAAAAAATAGATCATGAGAGAGTAGGAAATTTTTTTAAATGTGTGGATTCCATTTCTTTATAAGAGTAGAAGGACTTATTTCCAAAAAAGAGAGTAGAAGGACTATATCATTTAAAATAACACATCTTTTATCCATAAATTAATTGGTACCAGAATTTTTTATTATAATTAAGGGCAAGTATTTTTTCTATTATAGGATAAAAAATTATGTCGAGACTCCCACAACCTCAAAAGTACATCATTTTAAAGGTTAAGAAAATTAATAAAGGATATTTCAGAAAAAAAATTGTTATTATCAAAATACTTTTCATTAGTTATCTCAACCTTCAAAACGAAGTAATTTTTAAAGTTGTTAAAAATAACTTCATTTATATGTGACAGAAAAAATAATAAATCCTATATATAATCAGTAGTCTTGAGTTGAAATTCTGAATATATAATTATGTTAGAAAGTAGGTAGGAAAAATTTTGTTAACCTTATATTATGTCGGACTTGAATTGGATTAATCAAAAAATTAATTAATCAATGAATTTTTTAAAAAAAATTAAGATCTATTATAAAAGTTAACCATCAATAAATACTTAATAATAATTTTTATCAATAATATAACACCATTAAAATTTTTCGTGAACGGTATATTTGATTGACTTTAAAGTTTAAACATTTGTTATATAATTATCAAACAATAAATATTTAACCTTGTAAATGATATGGAAAATATCGATTTGCCAAGTTATACGGTTGATAAATTTATTATGGGGTTTTATAATTCTTATTTAACATGAGAATTCAAATTTTCCTACACACACTTCGATTTCCGTGCTGACATGGGTCCTACATATAATTTTTTCTAACACATGGGTTCCACATGCTTTTTATCTCTACAACATGAGAATTCTCATTTAACATGAGAAAATCAAACCCTTTATTATGATATATAATATTATTTAGTTTACATCTATTGACAGTGTAATTTTTTATTTATGTTTAATAATATATTATTACATCATTTATTGAGTTTAATTATTTTAAATATATAAGTTTACATTTATTCAAAAATATATCAACACATGATTTAATATATTTATAGTTTTAAACTAATAATACATTACAAAATTTCTTATTATTAAACTAACTTCAAATTGACGTTTTTATAATTTATCAAGTATATGGCAGAAAAATCTTTTTGTATTTAGTAGTCTTGAATATATTTCTGAAACCATCCGCTGAAAAATAATAAATATGAAAATGTATATTGGTAATTTTTTTAAGATTTCCTGACCAATTAAATGTAAAATAAATGTCTCATTCAATTGAGATTTTTCACGTGATAATTTTGATTTATTCTATATTTTTTTTGATAAGCGATTTATTCTATATTTATTCATGTTATTTATTTCTAAAGTTAGGTTTATTTTATTCTGTATTTGTTTGTTTCTTAATTTATATTGATTAGATTTATAATTCAATTAATTTAAAAATATTCTATTCCCTTATTTAGATTATTCTAATTTTAATTGACACGCCAACACACTTGAATTTATTATCCATCTTCTTTACAAAATTTTTAAAAAAAATTACAGAGAAATACCAAAGCTTTGTTTTTCCTACAGTAAATTGTTTCAACACTGAATAACATAATCAAATTTTGTTATCCAAGTGTAAAGTGTTGCAACACTTAATAAAATATAAATAAATAAATTTTAAAAAATAAATTTAAAATTTAATATTAAATTAATAATGACCTATATTAATTTTGAAAACAATAAATTAAGAGATTAAATAACTTTCTAAACAGGATACCAAAAAAAAATTAACTTTCTAAACAATATAATTTAATTACCGTGAGAATGACAAGTTTAACCACTTCGCGTAGGTCCTGTTAAGAGGATTGATCCCTCCCCAAATAAGTGGATTTGATCTTTTCTCACTCATTGCCAGGAGAACGTTTGGGGCCTAATCAACGGCTGCTAGGCCAACTCACGTTGGGTTAGCGCTGCACCAATTGTTTGTGAATATAAATTAGGGACTAATAACCTCCAAGGGTAGCTTAGTTAGTAGCTGAGCTTCTAAGGGATTGCTTGGTGCAGGGATCAAACTCTGCCTCAAGCAGTTTCTTGGAAAATCTTTGGGGGCCAGAGGATAAGCCAGAAATCTTCGGTTTGGGGATTAGTCTCGTCCTTTTTCCGGTTGCGAAGCTTAGTGCACTCACTGTTACAACGAGGGGCTAGCCCAAACGGGCCGTACCCTGAGGGCATGGTGCCCGGAGAAGGTTGAATGGGGATACCTCCTGGCAATGTACCAAAAAAATAAAAATAAAATTAGGGACTAATATTCTTTTATGTCAGAGAAAGTAATTTTACTTTCTATATATATATATATATATATATATATATATATATATATATATATATAAATATAAATATGTGTAGTTTATATCTTTTTCTTTTTCTTTTCTTCATAGGTTCCTACATATATCCTATATATATTTTTGTATGTAAGAGATAAACTTGTTTTTTTAACATGAAAAATATTAATCTCTATAAATTATCAATCAATTAATTAATAAAATTAAAAAAAACAAGTATCTAATTAATTAATTTTATTCTTTCTCCAAGTAAACAAGAAAGAGATGCTGCAGTAACTGAAACAGTGACCAAAGTGCACCAACTTTTTTACCTAAATGCCACGCGAACAGTCTTATTTCTCAATATGCCACGGGGCAAGTTCGTTACCCGATGTAGCGAACTCGATTTGCTAACGTGTCACGTTTCTAATGGACATCAAGTTCACTATACGAGGTAGCGAACTTGGTTTACGGCATATAGCAACCTTCAAACTTTTTTTTTTACTTTGGTACTTGTTATACACTAGAAATGTGACATGTCAGCAAATCGAGTTCGCTACACCGGATAGCGAACTTGTCTCGTGACGGGTTAGGAAATAAAACTATTCACGTGATATTTAGATAAAAAATTAGTGAACAGTAACACTTTAGTCATTGTTCCGCATTAAGTTGACATACTCCAAACAACTTTCATTCTTTTTCCTCAAAATCCCAAATGTTTTAGTATGTGCCCGTCTCGGTCAGATTCCCCTCGAAGAAGTGGTAACCAATAAGTAGGTCCTTAAATAGGTCATCTTAGATTTGATTTAAATAAGTTAGGTCTATATGAAATATTTTAGGGCATAATTTTGTTTATTAATTTTATATAGGCATAAATTATAAGTTTGATTTGACTTATATCAAAAATTAAAAATCTTAATCTAAGTCTGTTAACATGTTTAAACTTATTAAATATTTAATAATTAAAATAATATTATTTATTATTCAACATCATTAAAATAATAATTTTATTTATTTTTTAAAATAAATAATATTATATAAATTGGCCTATAAATCCGATATATATAAAAAATATTTATGACCTATATTTTAAATAATTTTTTTAAAAATATGAAAATATTTTATTTGACTATACAAAATAAGTTAAAGGATTTTATAAGAGTTATGTTGTAGGAAAAATGATTGTGTAATGTTATAGAGATTCGTTTTGCGTGCCGTAATTTTTCTTTTTTTTTTCTTTAAAAAATATGAGTCCCACAAAATATTGTGTGTGTAGAAAAATTTATTGTGTAATGTTAAATAACAAATGTAAATCCCTAAGTTAAATCTAATCTAATATAAATTACCTCATAAGCTCCTCCTAATCTAATCTATTTAGACCGCTATTAATAATATTTATCTTACCCACATTTATAATACTCAATGCCACTATTTACGCCAATGAACATATCAATTTTCAACAGTGGCTTAAACCGTAATAATCTCTAAATCCAAGCCCTATTTTTGTGAACGCACTTATTAGTACCCTCCTTTGTCTTTCTTTTCTTTCTTCCCTCTTCACTGTACTTCACTACTTCTTCGTATTTGTCGGAGGCAGATCTCTCTCTTCCGAAGCTTCCAGAATGCCGGCGACTGTGGCGGCCCTCGCGGCGGTGCTTCTCCTCTTTACAGCCGCCACAACCCACGCGCACAACATCACGCGCATTCTCAACAAGTACCCTGAGTTCTCCACCTTCAACCATTACCTAACTCTAACACACCTGGCGCCGGAGATCAACCGCCGCACAACCATCACCGTCTGCGCCGTCAACAATGCCGCCATGAACGACCTCCTCGGAAAGCATCCTTCCATCTACACAATAAAAAACGTCCTCTCCCTCCACGTCCTCCTCGACTACTTCGGAGCCAGGAAGCTGCACCAGATCACCAACGGCACCGCACTCGCCGCCACAATGTACCAGGCCACCGGCACCGCCCCGGGATCCTCCGGATTCGTCAACATAACCGACCTTCGCGGCGGAAAAGTCGGATTCGGCGCAGAGAACAACGACGGAACGCTCTCAGCGTCGTTTGTTAAATCCGTTGAGGAGATTCCATACAACATTTCAGTTATCCAGATCAGCAATCTCCTACCCTCGGCCGCAGCGGAAGCTCCTACACCCGCACCCAGCCAACAAAACCTCACCGCCATTATGTCCAAACACGGTTGCAAAGTCTTCGCCGACACGCTCTCCGCCACCGCTGACGCTCTTTCAACCTTCACGGACTCCCTCGCCGGCGGATTAACCGTGTTCTGCCCCATGGACGATGCCTTCAAGGCTTTCCTGCCTAAGTACAAGAACCTCACCGCCGCCGGTAAGGCCTCGCTCCTCGAGTTTCACGGCGTTCCGGTGTACCTGTCCCTTGACCTGCTCAAATCCAACAACGGACCTGAGAACACTCTCGCCACTGACGGCGCCAACAAGTTTGACTTCACTGTTCAGAACGACGGCGAGCAGGTCACGCTCAAGACCAAGGCCACCACTGCCAAGATCACTGACACGCTCATTGATGAACAGCCTCTCGCGATCTTCGCCATTGATAAGGTTCTGCTTCCCAGGGAGTTGTTCAAGGCCGAGGCTCCATCTCCGTCGCCAGCCCCGGCGCCGGAGCCCGCCGCAGCCGACGCTCCCGCCGCACCGAAGAAGAGCAAGAAGAAGAAGGGAGCGAATGCGCCGGCAGATTCAAGTTCCGACGCTCCTGCTGATTCCCCGGATGATGCTGCAGATCAGAACGCAGATGATAGTAGCGGCGCCGTTAGGTTTGACGGCGCCAGGTATTTTAACGTTATATTGGTTTTGGCTTTGGGTTTTGGTTTTCCACTTCTGTGAGTTCTGGAACACAAATGCTGGTTTTAATTTATTTTTTTAAAACATTTTTAGCTTTTTTTGTTCAGTTAGGAAATAAAGATAATTGGAAGTGTGTATTTTTATTTGATTTAATATTCTATTGGAGATAATGCTGTGATTTTGGTGGTGAGAGAGAGGGAAAGTTGTTGAACGGTTCTGATGTGAATGTAAACATTTGTTTACTTTTCTTGAATTGTCTTTCGTAGTAATGTAGCTGTTTATTAGTGTGAACTTCGAAGCTGAAAACAACTTGAGTTTGTGTTGTTCTTTTTTTCCTGCAATTATTGCTCACTTTGTTATGGTTAAGCGCTTTTAGGCTGCTTTGTGATTATGATAGGAAAGTCATGCGGTTTGACTAAATTTGGGGGCTTAAAAATTGCTTTGTAGTTGCAAAGTTGGGATCAATGGGTTCTGTTCTTTTTTATGTTGTGGACAAGGACATTGAGTGAATTCTTTCACCCCGTCCCTGTTTTGTCTTGATCATTGTTTGGTGGGTGCAGCTTTTAATCCTGTTGTGTTCGGCTTAAAGATCAATGTTCTTCCATTTTCCAATTTTTTCAGTGTATTTATTTATTTATTCTTTTGGTAGAGTTTTCAATGTAATTTTACATCAGTGCGTTTGGCGCTTGGTTGTTTTTTTACCGTTATTTACTCGGTTCAATGATATCACTCAACATCAAATTAAGCTAGAATATATAAAGCCAAAGCGGAAATTGAATGTTATATTTCAGTTTTATTAAACTTTCTTTTATGTTCAGAACAGATGACGAACAAAACGATTCAGCAGATAGTTTCTAAGTTAACTTGTTAACTAGGATGCTTCCATTACTGTTATTTTATGTCATTTAATAAAATTCGTTATTGATTATTTTTATATTTATAGCTCCTAAAGCTTATACTTTTGGTCACTTGTTTCCTCCAGTCTCAGTAGTCTTCATTTTGTTTGATACCAAAATTTAAACAATTTTTGTTTTGAAAGGCAGCGTCTTCGGAATTTAAAGTTCAATAATCAGTTTCCTCACCAATGTGGGCAGTTACTGACGCGTACTACTGTGTGTGAAATATTACATTGTATTAGTTTTCTTTGTGTATGAATGATTATTACAATGTTTTGACGTTTTGACGTATTTCTGATGGCAAAACATATTGAATAACCACAGTTGAAAAGAAATCCAACAAATGGTGATTTCAAGCCACGCTCTCCGAATCAAAATACGCATAAAATTTTCTCATTATACTGAAACTTCTATCTAGAACTAGAAGAACTCTAAAACCATTCATAAATCCAGTGGTATATGCTTTTAAGCAATGGTATATGCTTTTAAGCAAAATCATTTTTCATGTTGCTGCGAAATGTTCTTCTCGTGTCACTCTCGGATAGAAAACCAAGCTATGCTTTATATATATATATATATATATATATATATATATATATATATATATATATAGATATAGAGGTAGGATCATTTGACACCGGTGTCAAATTTTAATTTTGACACCTCATCTGAGAGCCGTTAGATAAAAAAAGATCAATGGTGTCACATGCTTGCAAATCAGAGTCGTTGATCTTTTTTGATCTAACGGCTCTCAGATGAGGTGTCAAAATTAAAATTTGACACCGGTGTCAAAGGATCCTACCTCATATATATATATATATATGAGTAGAATTCTTTGACATCAGTATCAAATTTAAAATTTGACACTCATCTTCGAGTTCTCTAAACCCCATATTGTTGGGATATTCAAGTGTGATGAGTCCCACCTTGGTTGGTAATGGGCTAAGTGAAGAGTATATAGGTGGAATGACCCATGAACCCAATGCCTTAAGGTTTTGGGTTGAGATGTGGTGTCGGACCCATTTGGTGTACTTGAAGTAACTTGGCTCATTGGTGGTGGCTCCCCCGCCACGGGCTTCCACTGGACCCGCCTGACAGTATCAGAACCGGGTTGGGCTCGAGCTAGCCTGGTGATTGGCGAGGAGGCGGATTTGTGTTTGATTACTTTGTGCTTGGGGTACTCGGTTGAGGGAGAACATATCAATGGTGAGTTTCAAACTTGAGGGGGAGATTGTTGAGATATTCAAGTGTGATGAGTCTCACATTGGTTAATAATGGGCTAAGTGAAGAGTCTATAAGTGGAAGGACCCATGAACCTAATGCCTTAAGGTTTTGGGTTGAGACATGGTGTCAGATCCACTTGGTGTACTTAGAGTAACTAGGCTCATTGGTGTACTTGGAGTGGCTTCCCCTAGACCCGCCTGACAGATATGACATTCTCTGAGCCCCATTTAAAGTTACTTACAAAAATTGTCAAAATCCCACAATCGCTAGTGGGATTTAATTGGAGAGTGACTTTTTATGTTTTATTCATGGTGTGTTCATAGACAACTAGTTATTGGGATTTTTTATTCCAATGTCTAAACATTGTTATTGTTTAAAATAAGATGGTCATTTATTATGTGATATTTAACAGAAACTAAAATGTTAATGACCAATGGCTTGCACTGCATTAGATAATCAAAACATAAGAATAACCCAACTAGTGAAGTTACTGCCACCAATACCAGCCAATAAAGTTGCCCAGTTTACTGAGTAAGGAGAGTCAGTGTGGAGGTCCCAAATGAAATATGTCTTGTGCGCTTTACTCTTTTTGCAAGTTTCCTCTCACATGGGCTCCTCAGGTGGGAGCTACTATAAAAATGGAAGTGGCTGTACAATGAAAATCACATGACTCTGCCAGTGAGCACAAAGCCAACTATTCTTTCCCCTTATACTAAGGAATACCGTGTGCCTCGCTGCTATCAGTAGCATACGAATAATTTTTAGATGGTGCTTCTCTGTGGAGTGGCTCTAACAATGCAATTCCAACATTTATTAATTAGTTATTATAAAATGCTAGTCAATGGCTAACATTTTTAACAGAAACTACTTTGTGATAGTAATCTTTTATTTTTGTTCAAAAGTAATATGAAGTAGTAAAAATTGTCGAGATCTTTAAGACGGTGAATAAGGTAAAATGCCAAGAATATTTTAACTCTTGGAACAAGTTGAGAACAGAGAAGTTGGTGGTCCAAGCCAACATTAGTGGCCCAGTCCAATATTAAATGCACTCGGTGACTTAGTTCCTGATCATCTTGGCCTTGTTGTTTCTTTCCCCTTATCCCAGAAGCAGAAACTAACCTACTCTCCGGATTCACCTACAAAGGGATAAGTTTTCCCCCTTCACATAGTTGTCGTCGTGTAAGGATTCAGAGGCCATTTTGGATGTTAACACAAAGAAACAAGCCTTTTAGGACCTATCCAAGCTTCCTCTCTTATTTTCCCTTTTTTTGTGTACATATAAAAATAAATCACTCCCTATTAAACCTGACTAACGAGTGTGGGTGGAGGTAATCTTTGTACGTAGCCTTACCTTTGCATAATTGCGAAGATGTTGTTTCTTGGATTCGAACCCAGGAAACAACTTTTTTACAATTATTCAAGGGTAAAGTTGCGTACAAGGATTTTCTTTACCCCACACTCACTAGTCGAGTTTAACGGGAGTGGTTTTTTGTGTACATATATAGCAAAAAAAAAAGCATGACAGAATTTAGCTATATTAAGAGTTAGTTAGGTGTCCGGGATGAATTTTATGTGAAAGATTATATTAAAACTATTGTAATGATTATTCAACTTGGAAGCGTAAGAACCTACCTAGGCAAAACACTATATGACATGTAGCTGCACCATAACATTGAATATATATAGCATAACTTATATAGTTATTGACAACCTGATATGATAATACATATGATCTCCAATTTAAAATGATCATTTATATTCATAAACTGGACGATGAAAATAAACACCAACCAAATTCAGAAGAGAAAAAAGGAAGAAAAAAGCATCATCATTGGAACTAGAACTGGCATAAGCATTGAAGCAGAGCCTTGGCCTTCACCATAAGGCACATAAGTGTAAGGATTTGGAGGTGAGAAAGTGTAAGGAGCTGGAGGGGTGCAGCACTGAACACCTGCAGCTGGAGGGCACTTGCTTTGGCCTTTATCCTGTGGTGGTGGTGGTGCTCCATATATAGAGTAACCATAAGGTGGAGGAGATGGTGCTGGTGGAGTACCATAAGAAGGGTATCCAGGAAGTGGTGGTGAGGGTTGTTGACATGGGTATTCACATTTGGGGCAATTAACACATGCTGTTGGGGATGGGATGGCATCACCTGAAGCATCCCCATATACTTGTAAAGGAAAATTGGATAGTGATAACCAAAGGGTTACAACCATCAGAAACTTTGTTGTGAACATTCTCTTTTTTGGTTAAATTACTTTCTTCCTTCAAAGTAGAGAAGGGTTTAGAAGATGCATAAAGAAAGAAAAGGAAAGAGAGGGTGAACATGAGGATTGCAATGATGATCTGACACAGCTTTATAGCAAAGCAGAGTTTTCTAGATACCATGTTCGGATGTATAAAGGTCTTGGATCTGATGCCGCATGGCAGAACATTTGTCATGATGATATTCAAGCAGCAAACAAATCTCAACTATTTTGCATGACTCTCAATGCTGACAAATTGTCAAAATGTTCAACCTTTTCACTTTTTTTTTTGTAATATCAACCTTTTCACTTTTACTTGTTCTTATCTCATTAAAAGAGGTTTTCTTTCTTTTTATGTTTTTGGTCTTAGAACTCATCTTTCAACATAGTGACTCCAGCACAATTGTAAATAATGGATTTTATCACAACATGCTAAAAGAGCTGGATCGATAGATGACTAAACAATGATGAGATTTACCAAGAATATGTCTCTTCAAAGGAAGAGAGCTTATTATACAATGGAAGATTCGAAGAAAGAAGCTTAGTCATCATCTTTGAACATCAATATCAATCTCACATCATTCTAAGTTTTGCGTAAAAATTAATCATGATGAACTTCGGTACCAAGTCTCACAAGTATGTGAGTTTTGCTCAAAATCTAAATAACATATAAAGGGGTAGGTTATATTTACAAACTTTTTGTTTACAAACTTTTTAAATTATACTATGTACTACGGGTAGTATATGCTTAAGTAGTATATGCTTAAGTAGTATGTACTACCCGTGTTACATAGTATAATTTATAAGAGTTTGTAAATAAAAAATTTATAAATATAACCTTGCTCACGTATAAATCATGATATAAGGAGAAATTGACGTACAACAAACAGTCTACAAGAAAGAAGTATCAAAATTCAACTTTGACTCAGGTCCAAGACTGACTTTGAAGACTTGTCCAAGTCATGGCTATTCAAATATAGATAATTCAAGTCCTCCACGAAATATGATGAGACAGGTCGTGGAGAGAATCCAGTATAGACCCTTTCCAACTTTGCCAAACATAATTCAATTATGTACTTGAAGGGCTCGTGCTTCTGATTAAAAGGTTGAAGAGCAAATTCTTCGAACGGCATCCACTTTTTAAGAAAAGACAAAGCATTAATAACACGGGTTGCAAAATGTAGTAAGGATGATTCATAATAACACTAGTGTCATGACTTAAACATATAGCAGCAATGGATTATGTGGCAATAGTGTAGAAAGTCAGCATTAAGTGATGGGCAGAATTCTATTAAAGAATCTTTAATTTAACACTCTTTTGAATGTAGAGATTAACAATCAAACAAGAGACAGAGATTAAACATGCGAAAAACTTGGAAGAAAAAGAAAATTCTAATGTATGTGCATAGTTTATGTTAGAGGTATATAAAACCATTAATGTAGTCTCACCCACTAGCTTAAACTTTTGGGTTGAATTGGTTCTTTACATGGTATCAGAGCCTCGGTGTCCCGGGTTCGATTTTTGCCGCCCTTATTTTCGTTGTGGAATTTCTTAGCATAGATAGCCTTCCTGATGTATCATCCACCTTTCAAACCCAATATGCTTTCTTGTGAGGGGCGTGTTAGAGATATATAAAACCATTAATGTAGCCTCACCCACCAGCTTAAGCTTTTGGGTTGAATTGGTTCTTTACAGTTTTCATTCAGCCTCTTTGCAAAAAATGTAAAGATAAGACTACGGACAATTGATTCTCCTCACCTTTACCCTTGCAAGTCGTGAAGTCTTGTGCATTGGGATTTGCCCTTATGTGCGTAGTTTCCATTACTATAATTAGCAGTTACAGTCATTCTTCAACAACTTGAAGGGCATTTGGAACCAATCAGAGAATTATGTTGGTTTATGGACTGGTGAATGTAAGGACAAGTTGATTATGTAGATAGTCATATTATGTGTGTCACACTCAATAAATATAACTATGATTAGTTTGTGAAATACATAGTAGTCATTCTATTAAGTTAAAGTGGTTGTTCAAAAGTCTATTTTCATTTAAGCAATTTTTGTATTTGTTTTCAGTTAAGATTTTGTTAGTGTTTGTGCCATTGGACTTTGTTGATGAGTGGTGAGGAGTATTGACATATTAAGGCTGATCTGCATAGTTAGGTTCTTCTTTTGGACAAGATCCTATAGATAAGAAGAAGAATATCCACTGATGTCATGTCACCTTTTATGTTCTGTTTCATTAGTGAATTAAAAAAGAAAAAAGAAAAAAAAAAGAAACTAGAGGTGTCATTGTCAATTTAGAAGTACCTGAGCTGCCTCAATTTCCAGTTCTTGCTTTTTGATATCAAAAGAAAGAGGACGCAGCATGCAAAGAAAAGATATATCTGATTTCCCAAAGAATGAATTGTGTGCATGTCTGAAAATCAGAAACATGAGAATGTCAAAAGAAAAATTATGAAGTGAAGAAAGAAAAGGAAAGTCAGGCCAAGAGATGTTAAATTTTCAATTACTTTAAAGAACTTAAGTTTATTAAGATATCAGATTCCAAACTTATGATTAGAATAGAAAAGCAAAAGCAAGTGTCCTCAATCAACTCATTACATTGAGCTTAATGATTTTTGTTAAACTCCATTAAGTCTTCCCAATTTGTTCTAAGACCATGCCTAGGAACATTTGCAATACATTTGCAATTTCATCTCAAATCATTTGTTATGTGCAAATAAAGTAAACACATGTCACTAGTATGATGCCACAAGCTTAGAGGTGCTCATCAAATGAATTCATAGGGTGCTGAAAGGTATTCTCACACCAAAAGGGATTTGAGGTATCAAACAAAGACCCCCCAAAAACAAATTCATAAGACTCCCCTGGTCAATCATATTAAATCTTTGAAATGTGAATAATAGGTCTCACGAATTAGAAAATTCATACTCGAATGCTAGTACTTCCACAAATTCTGTATCAACCTGAACAAGAAAAAAGACAGACCAAAGTAAAAGTTATTATGACCAATACAATAGTACTAGCATTCTACAACATAAGGGAATGCAACATTGTACTCAACTACTTACTCCTGTCTCTTCTTTTACTTCTCTAATAGCTGCTGCAAAAATCTCCTCACCCTGCAGATACAAGACCAAGTTTTGTGTTGCTAAACAAAGTGGTAATTTTTTTGAAGATGAAATGGAATTGTCTTTGGAAATGTGCATTACCACATCAACTACTCCAGTAGGTAGCTTCCAAACGCCAATCCCATGGAATCTACCTCTTTTTTCCTGAACTACAAGTACCTAGAAACCCACCACCACCCCAAAAACAAAGGGAACAAAAAAAGAAAGGAAGGAAAAAGAATTACAATCTAGAATGGCAGCACGAAACCAGGTTGATTATTTGTAAGAAAACAACTCTTTGATATCAATTTAGACCTCTTTCTTATCATTTAAAACAATAGCAGCAACTGCTACACGATGGGAAGCATTTGGAGGGATTGTGCAACCAGTTTTAGGAATCCAGTAAACTAGCATTAGATAGCTTGGCTCAGCATGGTGGTACCAGAAACCCTCCTGTCAGCAACAAAACACACAACATATTATATGACAATAATTATTACAAATATCACGATCCCATCAACCTCAGACTCAGTTACTAACATCACATGGGAAAAAATAAAAACGCAAACCCTGGCAAGGGTAGGGGTGAGGGTCAATTCTACGCAGTCTTACTCTTATATTCTTATAAAGAGACTATTTCCCAGACTTTAACATGTGACCGAGGAACAACACTCTAAGGCTCGCCTCACATGATAAAAAATAAAATGACAATAAAAATAGTCTCGTTTTAATCCAATGGTAGACTCTGTGTGAAAGCTATCATCTTCCACATCACACAAGTAGCTATCCCAAATGACCAAATTTGACACAAGATGTGTTCAATATGAAATGGTAAAAAATCAGGCTAACCTATGGCATCTATCAGACAAGAGACAAACATTACCATTTAATTTCAAAATTGAGAACATAAAACCATAACAGTTAACACAATTTTACTTGCAAGGTTTACAACAAAATTCTGAAAGAAAATATGGCAAAATTACCTTAACTGCAGTTTCGACAAGGTTGACAAGCTCTATAGGTAACTTGATCCAAACACCATCTTTTCCCTGCAGTGCGTAGCAGTACTAATGTTAATAAAGGCTGACCAGAGGTCAAATATTTTCATTTTTACTGTATGGCTGAATCAATTTCAGGTAAGAACATTATAATAAGCAGTTATGCAGGAAAAATGTCTATTTTTATACAAATAAAGGTTTGAATGAATCTGGTACCAGATGCCCCATTGATAATTTAACATTGTATTGAAATATAGAGCGAAGTTATAACGTGCATGTAGCATAAATGAGGACCTTGAAGGCGGTAAATTTTTTTTTTTTTTTTTTTTTGGATCAAAGAATTCATCCAAAGAACAGATTATCTTGAGTTGAAGCGTGTATGCTGCACATTTATCAGCTGACTTCATAAAAAACGCATATTTTCAGGTTTAAGAAATCCTTTCAAAGAACATAATCAGATTGGAGGGGAAGTTAAATAAAAATGGCTAAACTTCTTCATATGAGAATTTTATTTCATAAACCTTAAATGCAAAAAGTACCATGTTAGAGCTATATAGACCATAATAATCACCTGTTGCTTCCATTGTAAAAGTGAAGATCTAAGCAAAGTAGCAAAAACTTCAGAGTCCATAGACTCCTTCAAGTCTACAATAACTCCTCCATGGGCATCATTGGAGGCAGGGAGAATTTTCACACATTCAAATCCATTTTCACACAATTGATCCCCCCCTAATGGTGATGCTGGAATTGCTGAGACTGACATGGGCTGAACTGCATATTAAATCATAAAAGAAAAAAAGATAAAAGTTCAAAGGATGTTAAAAAAAAATTCAACACTTTGAAAAGTGTCACTAAAAATAAGCACAAGAGACCACCAGACACGTGTATTAACTGGCACGAGGTTATTCCAACTAAACCAATGGTCTCGAATTCAAGTTTTTAGTATGCAACTGTGTTAAAAATTTGATAGGAAGAACTTTGCAGCTCTTGTGGTCCTAGTGGTCCTGCCCCACTCGACTGAATTAGTCAATTAATTGATGGACTTGGAGAAATATCAAAAACAGACAGAAAAGAAAAGAAAAAGCATAATAGTGTCACTAAAAAAAACATACAAGAGAAGATTACCTTGAGAACAAACTCAGTAAGCTGAAGGAGATTAATTAGAAACTTAAGGATTCAAAGGCTAAAATTTGGAAGTGAATAAAGGGGGGGACCAGTGAGAGCACTAGCTAGTGGACATTGGAGAGTTGAAAGGCACAAGGTTGCAATTTATAACAAACACACTCTCTTGGCTTGGCAAGTGCAATAAGTGCGAGGTGACGTAGTTCCACTGCAACTCTTTGTGAACTAAAAAGTTTTGCCATGCCTTCATTAGCCGCCCACATTTGCAGTGGCCAGAGTCATGACCTGTTGAGTGGTCATGTAGTCAACCCCAGCTCCTTGCAGCAATATGAACAAGTTTACCTCTTCGGGAACATGATTTTGAATTTGCTTACCTCATGCATATTTTTTTCAGCATGACTGTGCAAAAGTTCAAAGTTTAGAATACTGATTGACCCTTTATCATCTTATTCATGATCTTGTTTTGTGGTTGGTGGCAGATCATTATACATAACATCGAGTTAGACGTGAAATTAAATCATTTTACCTCGTAACAAATAAAGCTCATAAATTTGTGGTTTGTTATGTAGGTCCAGAACAAAAAGCAACTCACATATTGTAAAATTCATGTAAGAGTGGAGGAGAAGGTTATGTTTACAAACTTTTTATTTATAAACTACATTACATTTTACTGATAAAATATTATTGAGTAAAGTTTTATTCGTAAGACAGAGTGTATTTTGTAAGTTTATAGAAATTTTTTTTTGTCAATATACCCTTTTTTATTAGGGAAATGTTTTTCTCATTATACATTGAGAAAGTTTTTCTCATATTACATACTCATCAAAATTTGAAAAAATATTTCATTTTTTTTTTAATTGTAAAACCTATGTAATGTTTTCCTATGAGAAAAGCATTTCCCCCTGTATTATTAGCATATCTCATTTATGGAAAGATTAATATTTCTTCTACAACATGAAAATAACTTTATTTGCTGCCGTCAAGTTAAAGTGAGTGATAACCTCTCAGGAAAGGAGAGAAACGGAAAAAGTAGATCACATCTACCTTAATTTAAATGCAAGAGATAATTCTAAATCGTTAAATATAAGTAATATCCATCAATAATAATGAGTATAAGACTTACATAACAGTGATCTGGCTACAATATGAAGGGGATGGGGATGGTGACAACACCACCGAGTCAACCGAATGTTATTATCAATAGGACCACCAGGTCAATGGGACGGGGGTTGATATGCTACCACCACAAGTCATAGATGGTAACACCACCACCACCAAGTCAAGCACAGCGGTGTCATAACTGCCTCCTTGAAAATATTCTAGAGCAATGTGTCACAATCTCAATTCTCAAGTAAAATAATTTATGAAAAATCATCATTGTAAGAACAACACTGTACATAATGGATCTAAATTCTCTCACGTCAAAAAAATATATATGATATGGTCATGTAAATAATTATAACCATACAAAAATAGATCAATGACAATAAAAATAGATCAATGACAATAAAGAAAGAAAAAAATAATAATATTGAAATAGACAATGAATAAACATTTTTAAAAATAAAAACTCAGTTTAAGCCCTATAAATTTCACTCAATTAAAAATATCAATGATCCCTAAACACATAGGTTATTCCAATTTAATAAGTGATTTTGAGTTTAAGTTTTGAGTATATAACTGGAGAAATGTTATTCTCATTTTATATGAGAATAGTTCTATAATATTAAAGAGAGAAGCCATATAGGGCCTATCATTAGGGAAATATTACTCTCATTTTACATGAGGTAGTTATCTCATTTTCTCTCACATCGAAAATCGCACCCCTTCTTTTTTCTTTTTCTTTTTTACTTTTTAATGGTGGACCCCACTTAAACTCTCTCTATAGCATGAGATAATACTCTCATGTAACATAAGATTAATATTCCCCCTATCATTAAAGCCTTAAAGGATAAAAAAAAAGAGTGGGTGAGATTTTTGAAATGAAATAACATAAGATAATTACCTCATGAAAAATTGAGAATAATATTTCTCATAGTGTGAGAAATTTGAATGGGAGAATTTTAGTGTCCTTATGGTCTTCTTCACTCAACTCTAGTGAGTCCAGTAATCCATAAGCTAGTCAAGAAATTTAAAAAAAAAAATTGTCAATAGCAATATATATCTAGCTAAATATTGGATTTGGGAGTATAACAAGAAACAACTATTTTTTCTTAAAAAAAATAATAATTTAAAGGAAAAGCATTTATCCAGTAGATAAAATTATTTTCAATGAGTCCAAAAAAAATAAAGACTAATATAACCCTGTAATAAATTAAAATTATAAAATAAAACTTTTTTTAACCCTAAAACAATGTCATTTTAGGCTCACTGGAGATAAGTTATCTCCTTTGACTGGATATACACTAAACCCATAATTTAAAATAAGTAATTACAAGTTTGTTTAGTTAAGTTGAACAACTTTTAAAAAAATAAATTAGTTTACAAAATTTAATTTTAAATCTCAAAAAGAAATTGAAGATAACATATAAAGGTAAACCAAATGATGGAAGTTCAATTGGCGCATAGAAGCTAAACACGTGAGGAGAGAGCATGTATTCGATCCTCCCAAATATCATTTTTGGAAGGAATTTAAAATATTAATCATGAACCTACTTCGAACAGAATTGCCTCCCGTAGAGTAAGATAATTACAAATAAAAAGATAAAATTAAAGACAAAGTTTGAAAATTTACAATTTGACTTGACTTGCATTCGAATAGTGCAATAGAAAATCAAAGTCAAGCAATTTTAAGACTTAGGGTGTGTATGACAACCTTCGCGGAATCATTTTTTATTTTATTTCTGTTTTCGAGAACATAAATGGATAGAAAACTCATTTCGTAAAATTTGTTGGTACGATTTAATTTCGAGTACATTAATGGAACGAATTTAAAACTCATTTGGTGGTACGATTTAATTTTTGTACTGGGAGAACAGATAAAAGAATAAAAAAATCTTTTTTTTTTGTTCCCGGACACAAAATGAGAAACACTTGTCTCTCTCAATCACTCTTCACCACAACCATCATCATTACCACCACCATCATCCCGACATGACCATCGCCACCATTGTCGCATCATACCACCAATGTCGTTATCACCACCACCACCACGATGATGCCGCCACCACTACCACCGCTCATCGCCATCATCACCACCACCACTACCATCACTGTCATCACTACCATCACCGCCAGCGCGACCAACCAATACCATCATCATCGTAGCCACTGCCGTCACCACACCACCACCACCACCACTGCCACCATTACCACCACAAAGACGTCGCCGCCACCGCCATCGTCACCAACCACCACTACCATCATCGCAACCATTGTCGTTACCACCACCACCACCATCGCCGCAGCCACTACCGTCATCACCACCACGTCGCCACTACCACTATGTTGCTACCATCGCCACAATTACCACCACCACCGCTGCAGCCGCCACCACCACCACAACATCATATAAAAAGAAAATTAATGATCCGAAAAAAAATTATGCTTAATAGAAATTATTTTTTAATATTATTTGTTGTGTTATCAAACACAATTGTCATTCTCAGAATAAAAATAAAATATGTTATCAAACACATTTTTTTTTTCAGAAACTGTTCCAAGGCACAGAAATAGAAAAGAATTATTTTTTTTAGAAACAGTGCCAGAGAACAGAATGGTTGTCATGCACACCTTTAAAAAGTTGCTTAATATCATAAAAAAATAAAATTATCAATTTATAAACTTGTAATAATCAAAGTTAGATGTGAATACTGAAAATAAATAAAGTTATTTAAAAATGTTAACTCACATATACATTAAGATTAAATATGTATAATGTATAGATTTATACATTAGGATTCTTAAAAACTGGATTATCAAAGTAAATTTCATAAGTAATTAGGAACTCAATGATGACAATTTTCTATTAAAAACTATCACTTATATATTTTTTAAGTGATTTTTTAATTTTAAATTATTTTCGTCTATTCTCAAAAAGACAATTTTTTTTCTAAAATATGATTTTATAAAAAGGGTGAAGTATGAAAGAAAAGGAAAGGTAGCTCGAAAATAAGGGTTTATGGGTTTTGAAATATTAATGTGATTAATAAAAGTTTTTATTATTTCTCTTGTTATACGAGATAAATTTTACAACATGAAAAACATTAAATCATTATTAAAATTGTTATGGATATATACATCATATCCTAACTACTCACCTAAGAATCCACTAAGGGATAAATACATAATTATCTAAACAATATTGAGATATCAAGTACTCAAGATAAGGACCTCATCCCAACAGAAAGGGAGCTAAATCCTAACGCAATCTGGGAGATCTAAAAAGGCCCAAGCCTAGGAAGGTAATCCTTATAAATAAGAGCCTAAAGACCCCAAGGTACACACTTTTAACCTATTTACTATTACTGCCAACACTGTGCACACACCCACGTCTTGGCTATAAGCCTATTGCTTGTGCGCAGTGATTGAGATATTGGCCATAGGCCAGATACATACCTACTTCTACGGTATCTCTGAGCACATACCATCTGGTATAACAATACGGTATATCCAGGACCTAACATTGGCGCCGTCTGTGGGGAACGATAAATTTTGATTCTCATTCCACGATGAAGAACACCC